CAGTCTTTACCAAAAACCAGAAATTAAATTTGAAAGATTTTGTTCTAACAAAGTCAATTATTTTGTTCCTTATTGATTAAGATTTTAGATTTATTTCTTCTTTAAAACAAAAAAAAAAAAGAATTTCTTCCTTTTGCCAACTTTACTAATTTTGTTATTCACACTTTCCATTTATTTCCAATATTTTTAATATTTTCCATTTAGCTTCAATAAAATTATTTAAAAAGAAAGGTCAAATTTTAAATTTTAGAAAATGTTATTTATCTTCCATTTGTTAATTTCCCAAAAGTGTAAAAATTAATATAAAATATTTTGTCACAACAGTTTTTTTTTCATTGGTCATTAGATATTCAGTTTCATTATCCTAAATTTCATAGAAACTTTTCCTGTTTTGTTATTTTTTTATTTACATTTTCTCTAAGTTCTTAACACCCATTCATTAGCATGAAAAATAAGTACATTATCTAGAAAAATGAAAAATATTATCAAAAAACAACTAGTTGAAAATTAATTTGTCACAAGTATGGCATGAAATCTTACAGTATAGTCTACCACTTGTCACAATCTCTTACATCATAATTCTACCACATGTTACATTTTCATTAGGGAAAGAGATTTCCACCTTTTTATCTATCTATACTTATAAATGAAAAGTCGTAAATCCTATGTGGCGTCTCGAGAGCGAGTTTAAGATTTGCTTTGCCGAAAATATCCTTAATAAATCTCAAAATTACACCCCTTGCAATCGAGTATTTTTTTGGCCGAATTACATCAATTACATTTAATTATTGGATTTAGATCTGATATTTCTATTGGTCCATAAAGAATTTCTTATTTGTGAAACCCTAATTCTATAAGAATATATATATATATTGATCTTTTGTCACTTCCTCTTCATAAAATTTAGGTTTAATATTAGTTGTTCTTTGTTCGTTGTTTTATTTTATATTATTGCTGGTTTTTATTCTAATCGATTCTAATATCTCAAAATTACATCACTTGCCATCGAGTATTTTTTTGGGCTGAATTACATCAATTACATTTAATTATTGGATTTGGATCTGATATTTCTATTGGCCCATAAAAAAATTTCTTATTTGTGAAACCCTAATTCTATATGAATATATATATCGATCTTTGTCACTTCCTCTTCATAAAATTTAGGTTTAATATTTGTTGTTCTTTGTTCATTGTGTTATTTTATATTATTGCTGATTTTTATTCTACTCGATTCTGATTTTTTCGGGTTTGTTTTTGTAGTTTTTTTCAGGTACGTTTGGTTTGTGTTATGCATACAGATTCGATTCTTCAACAAGGTTATACAACTATTAGGTTTAAAGTTTTGTTCATCAATTCGTATCGTTTTATATATGTGTTGCAAGATCTCTCATTACGTTCTTTTTCTCTTTAAATCAACTTATTTTTAATGTGGATTCCGTTCTCGATAGAATAATATAAGTTTTAACAATTTGTTTTCTTCTCTTTATTGAAAGTATTGATCTTATGTTCTTTTTTATTCACACAAGAAAATCAGCAGCTGTTTATAAACAAACACCTCTTCTAATAGCATCGTAACCAAGATCTGTGCGTTTTTTTGTTGTTGATAATTGCAGTTATCGACTTATGATCTTGAAAATCAATTTCGATTTATTCAGTTTTCGGTTAAATGAAATCCAGCGTTTTTTGGAGGTTTTGGTGTTGTGTGTTAGGGTTTTTGACCAAATCTCATAAATTGAATCTAACATCTATTTTCTCATTTATAACGTTGTCGTATTGAATTTAGGTTTTTGGAATAGCTACACTTTTGATGAGTATCATATGTTTTTGTTTTAGAAAGTAGCATTGTGCTATGCGTATTGCATGGAGACAAGTCCTAGCYGGAGAGTTATATTGRCTTAATTAGTTATRGAGATYCTTYTTTGAYKTTTGGCTAATTGTGCATCGTATATTTTCAGAATATTTGGCGAAGACGATGAGCCTTCACCGATCGATTGCAAATTTGTCGATGTTACATGGGTGGAAATARCCRTGGATTTGGATTCGATTGCCGCACCACCATTCATTTCACTCTCTCCCTCACCGTGCTTTCGTCTCTTTTCTCCGAAACTTCGGTGGAAGAGAAAAGACGATGTTGACTGGGCATAGACGCGGAGACGGTGCACTCGATGTTGGAGGTGAGCTCCGACAACACGACGGTGGTGAATGGTGATGGTAGAGCTGTCTGTTTCATCACCATATGAAGAGAAGCCAACATCGCACGTGCCATGAGAGCCACAAAAATATAGATGAGAGAGCCGGCATGAAGAGGATAGTGGAGAAGAGATCTCCATCGATGGGAACAGTGGTGGAGGCAAGGTCGTATCCTCCAACGTATCAGCAAGGGCTCGTGGCGCAGCAACAACAGCTATATACCAAACCAGAGGCAGGATAGCTC